TACGACTACTTTCTTACACTGCCTTAGTTTTGGAATCTTCAAACGGTCGTGTAACATTTAAGAATTTCAATGAACTCATCTGTCCCATTGTAGTTTCACCGACAAAATCAATCATTGTTGGTAAATCTTTTAGACAAGCCGGATCACTCCATTCCGTTGGAAATACAGATGGAAATGCCTAACAAAGAATTAAATGTAGTGGACAAGTATATTGTGTTGTCATAATAAAAAGTTGAACGATATGCCCGCTTAATGGAATAGGGTGGGGTGTGGGTGTGGGTGGGTGTGGGTGTGGGTGTGGGTCTTGCTCTTCTCTTCATCCACACCCACACCCACACCCAAAAAAATGATAGGATTCGACAGTTGAATAACAAAAAAAAAGCTCCACAATCGGAAGCGTATCTGTTTATCGTGTACTTAGCTGTCGTTTATTTAGTCAATAAACAATGAGATGTCACCCGATAGTGTACCGTCAACGATGAATGGTAAAATTGATTACATTTGATCGGCCGGAAGATGTAGGCAGGAACGCGTTTACTTTCTGCTATCAAATTTACTTAAAATTAAACGGAAAAGTGTTGAGTTAACACGGAGACTTTTTCTTCAGCATCCAAAATTTCGCTGGTCTCATATTAGTTTAGTGTTGTCAACATGAACATCATGTGCGTCGGAGTTGTCATTCTTGGGCTTCGAGGGTATGTAATTGATAATACTTTCATTCCGGATACAGCAGATTATGATGCTTATGGCATTAAGATTGCTTTGAATGATATTTTATTTGTCGAAGCACGAGGTAAATCAGAAAGTTTTCTCGTTCAATATGCACCATATAATCATACAGTTCATTCATTACAATGCTCCATCGACTATGATGATAATGCTCATTATGTCTATTCGGTGGGTGTCGGAATAAAACAGAAAACAAACACAAATATATCATTTTATTTTGCCGGTGAAGTCGTACCTCGAGGATCGGCAAGTGCAAATTCGTCTGCATATAAAGGCAATTATATTGGTGTATGGATCAATCGGGATCCTCAAAGTGTCCCGAGCTATGTGACCACTCAAAATCCATTCTCCTGTGATTATTTCAAAGTCGAAAGTCTTGAATTTATTTCATCCTATGAACATCAAGAATTTTTTATTATCGCAATTGAACCATACGGTCAATATGCTATCGGTATAGCTACAGATTTTATATTTAAATATGAGCCATTTCCTGTTTCTACTATTAGAAGTAAATCTACTGTTGACGTTTGGCCAAATAATGTCACATTTTTTCCTTGTGCAACCGATGCAAGTGAATTATTTACTATTGTTGCTGGTTTTGTTGAGCATTCAGCTCAATCTCGAGTACGTGCAACACCGACAGTCTACGTGATTTCGAATAATAATCTTACTGTGTTATCATCTTGGTTTTACAGTGCGACAAACAGTTCTTGGCAATCATATTTAACATATAGTGGTGTCGATGCATGGAATAAAAAATATACAATGTCTGTAAATATTAATGTCGATGATCCAACTCGAATTCTTATTGGTATGCCATTTCTCAACACTGTTTTTCTCTTTATCTTATCCAATAATGGTACCACTCTCACTTGGGTCAGTTCAATTTACAATGGACGATCGGTAGGCTATGGTAAAAGTGTTACCTGGTTGACTGGATCACAAGCAGCCATTCTTGTTTCAACCTATTCATTTGATCATTCAACTTGGTATGCATCACAAATTTATTTGTATACGTTTGTCAATGATACTAATCAGATCATTTCACCTACGGCTATCATACCCAATGCTCAACAGCCATTACCAACAACAATAAATCCGAAACTGATTCAAATTGTATCATCACCAGCCTCTCTGGCCATACTTGATACTGACGGTGGTGTTCTATTAATAGTCCCAACAGAACCAGGCTATTATTCGTCGTCAGATATTAGAAAATCGGCGATTGCTGCTGCAATGCCTATTGTCAGTCATTCAACAAAATGCATTGGAGGCACATTTAAAAACGATACAGGCATTCATCCATGTGTTTTATGTCCGAGTGGATCACACAATACAGGTCAAGAACCTGGCCTGTCATGTCTGAATTGTTCTTCGAATAGCTTTTGTCCATTGGGAGCAGTATATGAAATCGAATCGACTATTCTTATGAGTCGATCACAAGCTTATGCATTTCCTCGTTCACCAGAAATGGAACTCTATGAAGATATTCTTCTAACAAATATATTTTTAATCGGTTCAACTGCTCATTGTGTTCGTGTTTCACCTATTTTCTGGAGTTTCATGATTGCTATATTTGCAAGTATCTGTATTATTTTTGTTGCTTCACTTCATCGATTTATTCATCCAGAGAAAGGAGAAAAATGTCGTAATACTTTGAAGGCAATCTTTCGAAGAACAGATCTTGTAGTAAGTACGAAATAAACTTATTTGTTTTTCTCTCGCATGATGCTTTCTTTCATAATATTTGAAGGGTGAAGGCGAAATGTGGATTGGTGGAATTGCTTCGTTGATTCTTGTTGCAATCGCATGCATGGCCTATGGTTTTGCTATTTCTTATTTGAATCAATATCCATCTGAAAAAGTAGGACCATCTTCATTTGCATGTGATACAACGATTCGTAATGCTAAATATTGGAGTCAACTTCAAGCATTAGCTGTAGCAGTGTCTGATGAAGAAGAACCAATATTCGACATGCTCGATGAACAAGATTTTACTCTCTATTTGGAACTGATTAATACGGCTGCTGATTGTTCACAATTTTCCATAGAACAAGTTGATGACTCATCCACAATCGAGCTTTCCTTACTATCATGTTCGAATATGAATGGAACTCTTTCAGCTTCAGTCATGTTAACAGATCACGAACTCACTATTTCAGCAGTTCTTAGCGATATTCCACTTATCGGTGGTATTCAATTAGGTCTCCGAGGTAATGGACTTCAAAATGGTTTATATACATTGCAAGATGTTGACTTTCGAAAAACATTTTACAGTCAATCAAATCAAACTTTAGCACAAAAAGTTACAATTAAAATATCAATAACTAAGGTTCGTGAAAACAAATATGTTATTTGATATTTATGGATTTGATAAAATAGTTGTCATTGATTTAATTTTCATTTTAATCAGGTTATCAATGAAACAGAACCATTATCAGGTACTGAATCCGAATTTTCTGGTATATGGTATCCGACATTCATCGTGAATAAAAATGAGATGTTTAATACAATTGAAAAATATGTTAAGGCATCTAATGGGACATCGACCACCATTACAGTCGAGCTTGATGAAACAACGTATTATATTAAAAATCTTCAATCACCTATTGCGAAAAAGACCGAAATTCTATTTCGTACTCTTCTCTTCGTATTTATATGTTTAGAAATTTGCACCATGATTTTTCTTATCATGAAACTTCTTACTATTCCTCTATACAAGAAAATTATTCATTTTTATCATAATCGACACAACAATGCCCAAGTATCATTTTGTGAATAAAGTAATAATGAAAACATGGAATTGCACCGACAAAACATATTTTCCTTATGTCAACTGTGTGTTGTATATTCTGTCACTAAATAATCATAACTACTATCTCATAATAAATTGCATATTATATTGATGCATTGCTCTTTGATGAAGTATACACTACGATATTTTTGTTCTATGTTGAAACATAGAAAATTATGAGCTTCACCACTAATAAACAAGTGATAGACAATATCAAAGTTATAGCAAAAAAATAAGAGTTAAGAAAATTAGAGATAATCGTAAAGGTCCTGGGCTATTGTCTTGAGTTGTGGTGTTTACAAGCAACAATGGTTACGTGAATTTTGAAACTGTCACTTGAAAAAGTCGTGATTTACTTAATGGCATAACTGTTGATCAGGAGAATTTTCTTTCGCAATTCCGTTCCATTTTTTGTGTTAACATAGAAGCATCTCAAGAAAGAGTGTCATTTACCCAGGTCCAGCTATACGCAGACAGTATAAAATTGTAAACGCTCTTATACTGTCTTTTTCAATCAAAAATTAAAATCTCTTACTATGTAGTACAGTTACTCTTGACTACCTTTTATTTATTAATGAAAACATTAGTTGTTTATCATTAGTCCCTTTTATTAGAAGAAACCAATATTTCTGTACAAAATGGGAAAATACAATGTCTGTGTTTATAAAAGGCAATCGTTATGAAAAATATAAAAAGGAAACGAAAAATTCGACCTCATTTTTTAAAGAAATTCTTATGCTAACCAAAGATTGATCACCGGAAATATTATCGAGTGAACAGAAGATCTGAAAGAAAAAGAATTAAGTTGTTCACAGAGAAAAATGCCTATGATATAGTAAGACGATATCGTCGTGTTGATTTCCATTGACAGTATCGAAGAAATAGATTATCTAAAAGTAAAAGAATTTAGTAAGAAAAAATTAAAACGCTTTCATCTGTTCTCTTTTGAATAATCAATCACCAGAGAACAACAAAAAAAAAATCTTCTTAAATAAATTGTCACTTATTCAGAGTGACTTGATGTTATTAGAATTAAAAGTAGTTGGTTATTCTTATTCAGATATAACCTCTTTCTAATGAGTTCACTACTCTCGAGATGAAATAAAAATAAAAATAAAAAAGTTTTTTGTGTTTTTGTAAATGT